TTCCATTGGCATTTGTGTGTTCCTGCTGTGGGCCTTCTCTGCAGTGATGGTGGGGACATGGGTGAAGGCGCTGCCTGCCCAATAAACAGGCTGCCACCCTTAGGTCCCTGAGTGTAAAGAGTGGTTGAGCCCTAGTTGGTTTGGCTAAGTGGATAGAGCATTGGCCCACAGACTGAAGGGTCCAGGGTTCAATTCGGCCAAGGGCATGTACCTTGGTTGCAGGCTCAATCCCTGGCCCTGGTTGGGAGGCAACCAATCAATGTGTCTGTCTCACATTGATGTTTCCTTTCTCTCTGTCTCTCCCCATCCCTTTCACTCTCTAAAAACCAATGGGAAAATATCCTCAGGTGAGCATTTACAAAAAAAAATCTGTGGTTGAGAGGCAGGACTGGAACCAACCTCGGGTTGAGTCCAGGTCTAATTGCAGGATGAGTGAGAGAGACAAGTGGGCTCCTGTCTCTTCATTTCCTGAGCTGATCACTGCAATGTCCTTGGGTGGTTTGTGAGTTTTAAAGTGGGTTAATTCATAGAAAGCACTTCAAACAGTACCTGGCACATAGTAAGAGCTCAGAGATGTTGGCAGTATGACTGATTGCTTCAGTGTGCAGGTAGCGGGCCCATGGAGATGTAAGAAGAGGGCGTCTCCGGGACTTCTGTGCCCAAAGCTTCAGGTCTCCTCCTTTGGCCTGGCCCACCCACCATCTCCCATCCCACACAGCAACCCTTCCCCTCAGGGCTCACTGTGTTTGGACAGGGTCCCATTTTCCCGATTGACCTTCAGGCTGGTGGAGTTATAAATGCACTGATCACCTCTAAAGCCAGAGAGAAGAGGGGAGAAAACAGTAAGATAGTCAAGGAGAAGTGGACTGTCACAATCCTGGAGGGGGAGAGTCAGGTGGCAATTAGAGTCAGCCCCGCCCCCATTCCCTGGATGAGAAGGCTGAGGCCAGGAGGGGGGAAGGGCTTGCTCAAGGTGTTTGGGCAGCTGGGAGGAGGAGCCAGAAGCTGGGCTGAGCGGACATGCTTGGGTCATGTGTGAGTCTTACATGGTCATGTACTGTCTGAGCAGTATCGTGTCCTCCGTGTTGTTGGGGGTGAAGTAAAAGAACACTGCATGGATTTTGCTAGCTTCCTTCTTGTACTCGGGGAAGCGGTAAGCCGAGGCGATATAAAACCACTTGCCAGAGATCTGAGGAGAAGCCAGGAGCAGGTGATGGAGACTGAGAGCTTAATCCTTGATAGTCAGCTGGGAGGAGACTTGGGCAGATCTTTCCTCTTTGCAAATCAGGAGACTGGAAGCCCAGGGGAGGAGTGGGGCTGCAGGAGCTCACTCCAGGAATCAGCCATCACCCCCACCTGGTCCCGGCCCCAACCCCTCCCACATGGCCCCTCACCCAGTCAGCTTGCCCCGCTGGGGGACTTTGCAAGGCGGCTCTGAGCTTGGAGGCAGAGGGAGCCGCTGGAGGCTGGCCTGGTTCTCACCCCAGCGCCCAGGAGAGGCTGACCACAAGCCCGCAGGGGAAGGGAAGTCCAGAGAGGGAGACAGCTCCCACGGCACTCAGGGCCCAGGCACCCACCTGGTCCAGGGAGGCATTGGTGATGGGCACCGAGAAATTGGGACACGCCAGGCTCTGGGCATCCAGCAGGGGAAGAAGGCTCAAGACTGCAAGGGCCCAGGGCAGTGCCATGGCAAGACGAGGATGTGGCTAGAGTCCGAGGTACTGGTGGCTGAGGGGTGAGGTGACCTTTATATTGAGCTGAGGGCAGGGCCCTGGGGATCCGCTGTGACACAATCCTGTGAGCTTTTGTGAAATGCCATGCGCAGAACCTTCCCTCCTTTCCCAAAAGTCAGCCCCAGGTAAAGCCTCCAAGCTCGGGTCTAATTTGGGTCTCCGACCTTGCGACCAGGGCCCAAAGGTCTGGCTGTTCAAAGCCAAGGTGGAAAGGGCTGGAGTGGTATTAGTAGATTCCATAGAGGGGCAGGTGCTCAGGGTTTCATCCAACTCCTGCCCCTCTGAGTGCCAGGACTTGAGAGGGACCCAGTCATAAATGAAATGCTAAGGCAACTTGGAGGTTCCCAGGCTAGCCTGGGGTGTAGGGGCAATGGGCGAGGCAGGGGTGTAGGAGATGGGGGAAGGCAAACATGGATTCAGTTCCAGTTGAGTGTGGTAACAACTGTGAAAGACCAAAAGTCCAGCGATGCCGCAACCAGTCCTGGAGGCAGGGACATTTTCCCAAAAACACACACACAAAAAACAACATGGGGCATTAAGTTGAATGTCTGTTTTCAGTAAATGTATTATGTGAACCATCTCCAACATCTGAAACAGGAAATCACTTCTGTGTTTTCTTCAGCCTCTGCTATTTAGTGGGAAGCTTGCTCTCTTTCACCAGCTGCCCCAATCCTGGGGCAGTGCCCAGCACACAGTGGGTGCTCAGGAAATCCTGTGGAATCACTAACTCTACCACCCTTCTGCATTTCTACATGACGGGGTCAAATCTTTATCCATACAAGTAATATTTGCACAAAGTATTATTATGGTATGCTTACAACTTTGGGTGCTCATCTATTTTATTTTTTGTTTTTTTTTAAATGATATTTTTATTGATTTCAGAGAGGAAGGGAGAGGGAGAGGGAGAGGGAGACAGAAATATCAATGACAAGTGAGAATCATTGATTGGCTGCCTCCTGCACGTCCACTATTGCGGATTGAGCCTGCAACGTGAGCATGTGCCCTTGAATGGAATCAAACCTGGGACCTTTCATTCCACAGACTAATGCTTCATCCACTGAACCAAACCAGCTAGGGCCATTATATATATTTTGAATGTTTCACTGTAGTGAGTGGTTGTGATTTTAAAGTTCACATCACCTTTCATTCACTTCCTAGATGATAATTTCCTTAATCATGCCCTCTTTTTATATCTTTCTTTTAAAAAAAATTTTTTTTATTGATTTCAGATAGGAAGGAAGAGGGACAGAGAGATAGAAACATCTATCCACTGAGCCAAACTGGCTAGGGCTCTTTATATCTTTCTATAGCATTTTATGTTATTATTTCCAGCTTTATTGAGGTACCTGAGGCCCGGTGCATGAAATTCTTGCATGGGGGGGATGGGATGGGGTCCCTCAGCCTGGCCTGCACCCTCTCTAATCTAGGACCCCTCAGGGGATGTCCAACTACTGGTTTAGGCCCAAATCCCCAGGGACTGCATCCCTCTCGAAAACTGGGACTGCTGGCTCCTAACTGCTTACCAGCCTGCCTGCCTGATCACCCCTAACCACTATGCCTGCCTGCCTGATCGCCCCTAACTGCTCTCCCCTGCCAGCATGATTGGCCCTAACCTCCTCTGCCTCGGCCCCTGCCAATGTGGCTTTGTCCAGAAGGACATCCAGAAGGATGTCTGGTCTAATTAGCATATTACCCTTTTATTAGTATAGATATATACACATAGTTATGCACATATACCATGTGTGTGCGCACACAATAGAAAGAGACAGAGAGGTCATTATACTAACCCCCTCAATTCTGCAGCCATGTAGGAAGCTGGCACAAACTGTTCTGTGTTCGTCCCCAGGCCAGGAGTACCATGTTCTGCCCCCAAAGATAGTACCAAGAGGCAATAGCACAGTCTCCTGTCCCCACTGCCAGCCTGTGAGGACCCAGGACGCAGGTAAGGGATGGAAGCGTCCAGAGCAGGGAGGGGAGTGTAATGTCTGGCCAGATGTGGGCCTGCCTGAGCATGGAGGCAGGTCAAAGCTACAGACCAGGGAACCGGATTTTTCCAGGATTCCCAGGCCTCCCAGGGTGTCCTGCCCTCACACCTGTTGCTCCAGGTGCTGCGGCCTAAAGCCACCCTCCTTGACCTTAACATGGAGAAACCAGGGACATGATTTAAGCAGTTCCATAAGAGTCGTACTAGGAGGGTGCAGTCAGCCAGGGGACTGGCAGCAGCGATTACATCTTATCTCCCCTCCCTGCTCCCTCCCCTCCCATTCTTTCCCCCAAACCCAACAGGGAAGACTCGTGGGGAGAGCAGTGGCCTGAAAATATGGACATTGGGTTCTAGTCCCAGCTCTCCCCACTGACCTGCGGTGTGACGTTAGGCAATTTCCTTAACTTCTCTGGGCTTCAGGTTCCACATCGATAATGAAAGGGTTGGAGATGGGCTCTGGGGTCCTTCAAGCAATGATGATGATAATGATTATGATAATGATAGAGCTGACATTTATTAATCGCCTACTGCATACAGGGCATCATGCTAAGGGTTTGACAAACATTAATCCTTGCAATTCTATGAAGTAGGTTTTGCCCGCTTTGTTATTGTGGCATTTTATGAGTAGGGAAGCTAAGAGGTCAAGGAACTTGCCCAGGGACATTCAGTGGGGCCTTGACTTACGAGTGTCCCGACTAACGAGTTTTTTGAGATACCAGCTGTAGTTAACGAGCTCCTTAACAAGCTCGGTCTCTGAACGAATTAAATTCGTAAGTCAAGGCCCCACTGTATAGCTTACAAGTGGTAAAGCCTGAATTTGAACCCAGGTCCTTGTGACTCCAGAACCCTAGCACTTTACTGTGTCCCTCTTCCTTTGTTGGAGTTCCAATAGTCCTCTCCATTCGCTCGTTCATTCATTCATTCATTCACTAACCACCTTCCAGTGCTGGGCCCTGAGCCCTGTCCTCCAAGGAACCTAGACAATGACACAGTGGAGTGGTCAGAGCTGGGGTGGGGAGCACAGGGCGGCTGAGGAGCACATAACTCAGCCTGGTGTGTGGGAGGGTTTCCAGAGGGAGCGATGGCTGAGCTGAGGCCTGAAGAACAAGTGGACTGGCCCTGGAACTGACCCAGAGGGGGCATCGAGGATCTGCCTGGGAGAGAACAAGGCGGCCCAGTCTCCTGCTAACTGGGCAAGTTGAGGCCTCTGCTGACCCTCTGGTGCCCGGGAGCATTGTGGGTACCCCCCCATGGAGGAGGGGCCTGTCTCTGTGGGGGAAGGACCACAGGCCCTGGCTGCAGTCAGGAGAGCTGGGCTTGGGGTCAGACAGAGGACCACTGCTTCCCAGCCTTGACACCCTGGCGAATTCTTCAGGCTTTCATAGCCTCAGCATTCCCATCTGTAAAGTGGGGAGTGACTGCAACGGCTAGCCCAGTGGCTGGTTGGATTTGATAAAATAATGCATGAAGGCCCTGAGCAGATGGCCCGGCTCATTCAATGTGGCCTCTCACTGTCATGGTTGCCATCAGAATTGTGTCCTCTGCACGGTTCCTGAGGGAAGCTCAGTGCTTTGGGGGGTCGGCTTAGGAGGCTCCAGGCCTGATGCCTCAGACAATCCCCCCACCCCACATCTCTTTCTGGTCTTCCAGGTGGTGCTGTCGCCAAGGACCCACTGAGACCATCTCCCACTGATGCCCCTCGATGTCCCCTGTGTGGTCAAGCTGGGTCCCCTGGGTCCCCCGCAGAGGGTGACGGCCCAGACGCAGCCACCTCTGGTAGGGACAGATGCTCAGGCTCTTCCCTCAGCTAAGCCAGTGGGGGCTTGGCGCCCTGTGAGGTGCACAGGGCGGCTGCTCCCCCCCGTTTCACCCCCCAACTGGAGCACACTGGGCAGAGGGTTCGCCTCCCAAATCCGGGCACTCCCAGCACAGCCAGCCCAGTGTCCAGCTCTCACAGGGCAGGGCCTGGGCGGACCCTCTGTTCTCTGCTAGATCTTCCAGGTGGTCATACTGTCTCTCTGGTGTCCTTACCTGGCAGGGGCAGGAAAGTCCACAAGGAGGAACACACCTTCCGCTTCCAGCCCCAAGCAGAGGAGCAAACGAGCGGGGTCCCCACCCCCTTTGCCCTTCGGGACTGTGGTATCTGGCTGCTGCGCCTTCGGGACCAGCCCCTCCCGCGTTTGCCTACGTCTCCTCGCTTCCTGTGATGCCTTACCCGTCAGCCACTGTGTAAGAACCCCGTTCCCACCCTCCCAGCCTCTCTGTCTAATTGCTTAATAACTAGCATGGGGCCGTGTCAGGCAGCGGAGCACCTGGGCGCATGTACCTCTTTGTCTTCTCCTGCGTGTATGATGTGCCCGACTGGTGGGAGCAAAGGCATAGGGCACCTTCGAGCCCCAGACCCCCATGAGGCTCCGGCTACAGTGTGGCTGTCACTCTCAGCTGAGTCCGGGCAAGTCGTTCAGGAAGCTTCCGCTCGGGCAACTCTGAGAGGCCGTGCTGCGTGCTCAGGCCTCGGCACCGGTGGAGACGCCTGCCTGTGCTCCCACTCACTGGGCAGGGAAGGTTTCACCTGGACTTTGGTGGCCCCGGAGAAACTCTGAGTGTCTGCTGTCACCTTGGGGTCTCTATTTCTGCGGCCGTTCCATGTCCTTCCAGGCTCAGACCTGTGGACAGAACTAACCAGCGTGCTGTCCCCAGGCATGGATGGGCCAGGGGGGAGGAGAAGGGCCCGGGGCTCAGGGCCCGACAGCCCTGACCATGGGCTTCAGGTTCCACTTCCATAATGAAAGGGTTGGAGATGGGCTCTGGGGTCTTTCAAGCAATGATGATGATAATGATTATGATAATGATAGAGCTGACATTTATTAATCGCCTACTGCATACAGGGCATCATGCTAAGGGTTTGACAAACATTAATCCTTGCAATTCTATGAAGTAGGTTTTGCCCGCTTTGTTATTGTGGCATTTTATGAGTAGGGAAGCTAAGAGGTCAAGGAACTTGCCCAGGGACATTCAGTGGGGCCTTGACTTACGAGTGTCCCGACTAACGAGTTTTTTGAGATACCAGCTGTAGTTAACGAGCTCCTTAACAAGCTCGGTCTCTGAACGAATTAAATTCGTAAGTCAAGGCCCCACTGTATAGCTTACAAGTGGTAAAGCCTGAATTTGAACCCAGGTCCTTGTGACTCCAGAACCCTAGCACTTTACTGTGTCCCTCTTCCTTTGTTGGAGTTCCAATAGTCCTCTCCATTCGCTCGTTCATTCATTCATTCATTCACTAACCACCTTCCAGTGCTGGGCCCTGAGCCCTGTCCTCCAAGGAACCTAGACAATGACACAGTGGAGTGGTCAGAGCTGGGGTGGGGAGCACAGGGCGGCTGAGGAGCACATAACTCAGCCTGGTGTGTGGGAGGGTTTCCAGAGGGAGCGATGGCTGAGCTGAGGCCTGAAGAACAAGTGGACTGGCCCTGGAACTGACCCAGAGGGGGCATCGAGGATCTGCCTGGGAGAGAACAAGGCGGCCCAGTCTCCTGCTAACTGGGCAAGTTGAGGCCTCTGCTGACCCTCTGGTGCCCGGGAGCATTGTGGGTACCCCCCCATGGAGGAGGGGCCTGTCTCTGTGGGGGAAGGACCACAGGCCCTGGCTGCAGTCAGGAGAGCTGGGCTTGGGGTCAGACAGAGGACC